CTAACTATTTGCATAAATCGTACATAGAAGCTCCACACCTGAGGGATAATGTTTCTGTTCAAAGGTTAACATTGTGTCATGAAAACGTATAGGCCTTATGATGAGTAGGAATCAAGCTTTTACTCAAGGTTTACAGTAAAGCCTCGGTAGCCAATAGGCTGTCACAACGGATTTGAAAGAAGGTTTGTTTTTGCAGCCTGGTTCAAGTCAGGCATTTTTCTAAAATATATGAGGAAAAGCTCCAATTTATTTTTCTTTTCTTTCTTTCTTTTTTGTTATCATGGATTTTGATTTGACTCAAGAACTTGTTTGAAGTCATGTACATAAATTAAACTGTCTGTAACATGGATGTGTGGGACATTGTGCTTTGTTATATCTTCAGATTTCTTTTGTGCCTATATTAACCACGCTCAGCCTTTTATGCATTCTCGATCCAGTACGCATATAGTTACTATAGCTTAGACTGGAAGAAGCAGTGATCATTATACTGCATCAACTTAACTACATGAGGGTTGCTTGAATCAAACTCACATCAACTAATTAGAAGCAGATTGATAACAGGATAAAACCATCCCTTAAATAAGAATATTATTTTCTAATGGGGGTAAAAATTCCAACTCAAAAGTTAGAGGGGCCTTTTCATGTTTTTTAAATAAAAATAACACATTTTAACAATAGTAAAAGTAACTGACAGTAAGGATTTTAAAGAAAAACAATTCATGATTTTCAAAATTGCACACTTGTGTGTTTTGCATCTAGAAACTGACCATTTATTCCATTCTTCTTTGAAAAGCTATGTTCATGTATTGTCAAAGAGTCTCAGCCATTCCTCTGTAGCTCCTGCTTCATATTTAGGGTTTATGTCCAGTTGAGAGGCGAACCTTCTCCCTAACCCTCAAGGTTTTTTCAGCCTTCACAGGTTTTCCTCTTGTATTGCCCTGTATTTAGCTTCAACCACATTCTCAGCAACACTGACCAAGTACCATGCGGAAGAAAGCATACCTACAACATATTACCATATTACCGTTGCAAAATGTTTCATTTTGGTCTCATCTGACTAGATGACCACAGCACTCTCTTTCACATCTTTAGTCTGTCCTTCATATTGCTTATAAGCTGCTAACAAGGCTTCTTGTGGATTTAGTTAAAAATTAAATTGCCTCTCTTACACAGACCAGTTATGTGGAGTTGCTGACCAGAAGGTGTCTCGTTTTAAATATCTCCACAAGTTTATAGCTGACTTATCTGCTGTGGTCCTTCAGCTTCCTGATGCTGATGCTGTTCTCTAGCCAACATCTATATTGAACTTAAATTACACACATGCAGATTCAGTTAATAAAAACAAATCTTCTGAAAGATGATTTGAGTAAAAAAAAAAAGTGCTTAGATGTGTGGCACATTTTTCAGATGTTTATTTGTTACGGACTTTGACAGTCATGTATCATTTTCCTTTCCCTTCACAACTATCTATTCCTTTTTTGTTCTGAAAAGCAATAGAATACACTGAAGTTTGACAATACTATCATGAAATGGTTAAAAATAATTTAAATAAGTTTGAGGTTGGCCTAATGGAAATTATCTGAGAGAGCAGAAAGAACACCCTTTAATCTCCTTCTCATTGGATTTTAAAATAATTATTTTCACGACACTAAACGTATTTTAAAGTGTTTTTCTTTACTTTTGAACTCAAGGCGATTGAATAGAAAGGTAAAACATAAAAACCAACTAAACTACGGAACATTTTTCTTGGGGGAAAAAAAACAACTCTTTGCAATCCGACTAAACTGATTTACATGTAACATTTTAAAGATCAAGGATCACAAGCTTTATTACACACAATTAAAACCAGAGCGTGACGTTTAAAAGCCTGACTTGTGTGACTGGGGCCCCTGCGGGCCCCCTGTTGGCTTGGTGGCCCTGAGCTGCTGTTTCGCTCTGATTATTTACAGATCATAATGTAATCTCTGTTTTTGAACTAAAAGAAATCGGTGATTTCTTTAAATTGGTGATTAGAAATCAGAAACTCTTTTTTTTTTTTTTTTTTGCTTGTATGAAACCAGTAAACATGTTGATAGTTTCCGCCTTGCTTTCAGCTGCCCTGCGGGTTTATTGGCGCACCCTAAAGATAAACCATTTGCAGCGTGGGGTCACACATTGGCACCAGGTAATGAGACATTTTAAAGCTATACCGAGGACGCCGATATGTAAATGAGATCCATTGTGGCTTTCAGTGCTATTTTAATAACCCCCACAATCACCCCCCACTCCAAAATAAACTCCTGACGCCACCGCGCCACCTTTCTCCGTGACACCAGCCCCTTTTGTTTCATTAAGGAAATGGCTCTTCTTTGCTGATTATTTTATTTGATGCCGTGATTACCACTCTGTGCTCCGCATCAAGAAGGGAGCGGACACCAGGCGGAGGGCGGCCGGCCTAATTGGTGCATGAGATGCACCGGGTGGTGCGGCCCAGGCTGGGTGACCGAAGAGGAAAGCCTCTTTATGGACTTCAACTGTCTGTGTTTAGATCCAGCCGCAGTCGTTGCTCTGCTTTCTTATTCCTCTGACTGTCAAATCAGCTGCACACAAAAAGAAAAAAAAAAAAAAAAAGAAAAAACTCGGTATGATTTGCTCCGCGTCCCGTCCCTGCAGATGGAAAATCGATTTTCCCTTTAGATTTGTATAACTGAGTGAATGCAGGTGCCTGCGAGGCGACGCGATGGGGCCCGAGCATAAGAAACAAGCAGCTTGCCTCCTGGCCCGCATGTTGCAATTTGGTTGTGGTGGAAAGAAACTGATCCTTGCAAACTACGTTTGTTTTTAGCCTGCAAAGGCCCATATGAGCAATGGATTTAACGCAGAGTGATTGCTAAAAAAAAAAAAAAAAAAAAAAAAAAGGGAAACACGGAATTCCTGATCTCTGAAATTGCTCTACAAAATTGCATTTGTTTTGGGCTTCTTTTTTTTTTTCTTTCCTTTTGGTGCGCTTCCATTAAAAGCGTCTCCTCGCGTGTAAACAGCCGTTCTGCACTCAGATGCGCCGCATTAACCCGAGAGGATCGTTCGTGAGCGTGTTTTTACTGGGGAAGATTGATGTGGTCCAGTTAGGGAGGCTGAGTGAGACATAGACCCATTTTAGGGGGTGGGGGGTTCCTCTTATAACAGCTTATATATTACAGTCTGAGGATCGGACACGCTAATGTTCACTCTACCGGCTGTTTTTGTTTTGTTTATCTAGACGTAACGGATTAATATCAATCTAAAAATTTTGAATTTGTTTATTATTTTATTTCTCTTTATTATATTATATGATATTATATGATATTATATGATATTATATTATATTATATTATATGATATTATATTATATTATATTATATGACTACAACATAGTGACAATTATTATTTAAAATAAGATACTATTTTATAATTGTGTGATAATACAAATGTGACGTTTCAAAAATAAACAAAGTGAACTCTGATTATGTAAAATTTCCTTACAAAATTGAAAAGAAAATGATTAATTGATCTGGATTTAAAACTGCATCAGTTAATATCCATTTCCTTACTACAGCTGAGTCGTTAAGGTAGAGTTTTACACATCCGCTCCCACATCAGTTCTCCTTATCCTGCACATCAAGCGTCGTCCAAAGCATACTGACCATGTCCCCCTGCCTCAGGCCCTCCACAACCTGAGGAGTTCCGCTCTCCTCTCTCTTTCCACCTGGTCTGCTACGTGTGGATCAAATGAAATCGAGCCTGTTCTGCTGCTGCTGCTGCTTCTGCTGCTGCTGATTGCTTCTCCTGAACCTCCGGGAGCTCATCAGCCGCTCCTCCATCTCAGTGGACCCATGCGCCAACCCATTTCCTTAAGTTTTCACGCTGTTCCACGCATATGGGTTTATACTTCCCTGCGCCCCGAGGAGCAAAAAAAAAAAAAAAAGAAGATGAGCTGCCTGCATGTGGATCCTCGCTCGGACGCCTCCTTTGTTCGGCTGCAAAAAAAAAAAAAAAAAAAAACCCCTATTTAGTCCCAGGCGGTGGTCTATTCACCAGTCTCCCCCCCTGACATCTGCCAGAAGCCGCTTCTGAAACAACCACCACCGCAGTCTGAAGCAGTGAGACCGGCGCAGATCGATGACTGTCCTGTTAATTGTATAATAGACCTACTCATGGACTTCTGCTAAAGGGGCACGGCCGTTTAGGCTCCTGCACGTCTGATTTTGTTTGGAGCAAACAGGCCTAAATACCTTTAATTGAACCCGAGTTGATAAAAAGTCGATGGGAGTTAAAGCGGCCGATCACTAACGGAGCTTAAATCCATCTGTTCTCGTTTATTTATTTATTTCCTCGATTTGTCTCCACAAATCACCTGCCACGGGGGGAAATGGGAGCTATATTTGTTTTGTTTGTGGTCCAAGGACGAGGGAGGGAAGTTGGACTCCAATGGGTAATGAGGGAGGGGGAGGGGGTGTTTTAAAAAGCTTAATTTTTTCTTAACGATTTATTTAGCTTGTTAGTTAGTTATTTTGGTTAGTACAAAAAAGAAAAAAAGAAAGACTTCGCCAAGCAGTGGTCAAAAATATTTGCCACGGGCTAAGTTTAAATTAAATTTCTGGGGGGTTTTGTTTGTTTTTCTTTTTATATGTATGTATATACTTATAAAAGCAACCCCAGTTTCTAAATAATCAATGAGCCAGCTCTTTTAATCCGACATTTTCCTATCTGTGATTATCGAATGAGATTATATTTTGTCTTCCAAACTGGTCAAGCGTCACTGTGCTCCAGCAGAATAAAAGCCAGCTCTTCCATCTGTGCATCTCCAGCATTTTGCACAGGTTTCCATATGAGATTAAACACATTAAGATGTTAAATATTGAATAATTTCTGCAGGAAAAGCTAATAAATCAGAGGATGAAACGGCAGAAGATTGAATTGTACTAATTCTGTGGTCTGTGTCTGCATCCTAGCGTGCGTGCAGGTGTGTTTAAAAAAAAAAAAAACTAGTAGAAAAAAAGAGGAGGAGGAGGGGAATCACATCGGTGACATTTTCAAGCTCCCGCTCTGATTGGCTCCTATACGAGGAAGCTCACGGCTTCTTTCAACTAATAAGCGCCTCCCCGTCGCTCTAAAGGACATTATAATGCAAGGGACCTCCTTTTTTAACCACAAACTGAATTTTCGTTCATTTAGACGATATACTTTTTTAAATTGCCCCAAAGTTACGGGATTTTTTTCGGAGCGCCTTTCGCCCTGGAGCGATACGCGATGCTCTCTCACGCCGACCTCCTGGATGCTCGGCTCGGTGAGTTATCATCACTAAACTCCGGCCCGAAACTCCAGTGTAAGATTTCTACTTCTTATTTGATGTTGATATGTTACATAGTGAAGTTCATTTTGTGTCAATAATTGAATTTTTGTGATTTATTAGCTGATTCTAAAATGTTAAGAAATGTCAGTTTTTGTTGTTGTATTTATTCATTAGTTTTGAAATGTATCTTCAATTCACACAGTGCATGCATTTTCCTTGTCATTCTACTTGTCTTACTAAAAAGTAAGACATTTTCGTTGACTGAAAATCCTCCTCCTTATCATCCTCTCAGGGATGAAGGATGCTGCGGAGCTCCTCGGGCATAGAGAAGCTCTCAAGTGCCGACTGGGGGGTGGGGTTCCGGACCAGGGGCATCCGGGAGACATGGCCCCTGGTTCAGACTCTGTAGAGGGAACCACTCTCCTGCCGGGGGAAGATATCACCACCGTGGGGTCCAACTCTGCTGGCATGCCGGTAAACGGGAAACAGGAGCAGGAGAAGCAGCAACAGCAGCAGCAGCAGCAGCAGCCACAGCAGAGCTCCGGTCAGTCCGCCAGCCAGCAGAAACAGAAGCGGCACAGGACGCGCTTCACCCCGGCGCAACTCAACGAGCTGGAGCGCAGTTTCGCAAAGACCCATTACCCCGATATCTTTATGAGGGAGGAGCTGGCGCTAAGGATCGGCCTCACCGAGTCCAGAGTTCAGGTAAGCGATCAAGTTAGACCTGCTGCTCTCAGACACTGATGCCAGGTGGGCTTGAGCTTCTCTGAGCCTGTTCGAAATTCAATTTTAATCACACCTGGGAGGCTTGTCGGATACGTTTTTTTTTTTTCTTTATATATATATATATAAAGTTAGAAGTACTAAACTAAATTCGCGCCTTGGTGCTTCTTACTTTTGCTAAAACATATGAATCCTGGAATTAAAGGTGTGTTCATGTGAATAGAGTAATATTTTCTAGTTCAGGTTTGTCGGCCATGAGATATCCGGCATTAATAGGAAGAACCATCGTTTCATTTTTAACGAAAGTCAAAAGAAATAATGTCTAAAAAAATACCAACGTGTGGTTCCACTTTAAAAAAAAAAAAAAAAATAAATAAAAAATAGTGACAGGCGTCAATTGTAACTACAAAGCGCACCTAAATTCCCCAATGCTCTGTCCAAGGTGCTGAAGTACTCTTCATCTACAGATAAGCGTGAAGTCCGCCCTTTACTGCAGTCAGACTCCTTCATTTTACTTTTACAGTCATGAAGCATGATGCTATGGCATTTGTGAAATGCCTTTAAGTAATCAAGCAAGTTATTTTATCAATAAAATTATGTTTTATTTTATTTTTTTGTTTGTTTTCCTGGTTTCATCCTTTAGAAATCATAATTTTATCTTTATTTCGTGATTATATTTTAGGTATTTTCGATTTACATTTTTATTGGGTTTAATTAATTTAATTATTTTTACCAAAATATCCCCATGAAAAAAAAAAAAATAAATAAATAAATAAATAAATAAATAAATAAATAAATAAATAAATAATATTTAAGCTGGAGAGCGGTTTAAATTCAATAACGCATACAATACTTATTTTAAAGCTGGCATCCTAGAACATAAACCAGGCAACAAGAAAGCAAAACCATTACCAGCTAATTTCAGTTTTATTTATAACACTGAATGGATTATTAACCACTGATGTGAAATCCATGTAAATTATTCCTCTGAAAGCAATAAAAGCAGAATAATCATTAGTCACCTTTACAATCAATTCTTTATTCCACGCTGCGCAGATTGTCTTTGCGTCTCGGCTTTTGTTGGTAAACATTAGTGCTGACCGTGCAGGTGCAGACCCTAAGTGGGCGTGCTGGTCCCCACCTGCATGCCTTTGCACAGCCTCTCCTTTAAAATGCTCCATCAGCGACGTCTTAATAGGGACTCTCGAGAATATATTGTACTTTTTTTTTTTTTTTTTAATGAAATGAGAAATTGCATTTTCTTTCCCCCCTCGAGTGTAATGGGTTTGGGCGACGTTTCACGGCTGGCTGAGCGGAATGAGAGCGAGATTTCACTTTTTAATACGGCGGCATCGACTCGCGGCCCTGCGCGCGCATTAATCACACGCGAAGATGATGAAATCTTTAAAAAGCTCCGCGCCTGCTGCGCGTTCATTTCTTACTGAAAAGCTTTACCAAGCGGGTTTATGGAAGATGGGCATATTTTCTGTTTTGTTTGTTTCTTTAGTTGATTTTGTAAAGTGAAGCCAGCCATGTGTGTTTAAAGTGTAACTTTTAAAAACGTTTTATTTTTTTTTATTTTTTTTAAATAAATAAATAAAATACAAAACAAACAAAAAAATATCTTTCTGAAAAATCATTGCCATTAGAAATTAAATTAAATAAAATTAAATTAAATGTATGGAATTTTGCTTTGTATTAATTGGGATTCTGGATAATCTACACGGATTAGCCACAACAGTGCAAATTTAATTTAATTATTGACATTGTAATACAGTCTTTGCATGCAGATTAAGTGCCTTTCAAGTCACAATTTTCAGCTAATGCATTAGATAGATAGATAGATAGATAGATAGATAGATAGATAGATAGATAGATAGATAGATAGATAGATAGATAGATAGATAGATAGATAGATAGGCCTTTTTTCATTGATAGCCACGGATTAGTAATCAGCGGGGTGATAATTATTATATTTCTTTGTTAATCAAAATCAAGAACTCCCCCGTTGAGAATTGATAAACATATCAGTCAATAGCATGTATTCTAAATGAACTCTTTATAGATTTAATAACACTTAAAACAATTTGATGTGTCTCTTGAAATTATCTTATTTTCAGTTTGAACCCAAATTGCCACCTCGATCGAGGAACCGGAAGCAATATTTTCTTTTAGGTCATGTTTTTTTCTCTCTCCCTCTCTGTTATTTTCTCAGTGTCTTTAACTGTGTACATTTTATTTATCTATTGTCCAGGTTTGGTTCCAGAACAGACGCGCTAAGTGGAAGAAAAGAAAGAAGACCACCAACGTGTTCCGCGCCCCAGGGACGCTGCTCCCGACGCCTGGCCTGCCGCAGTTCTCTGCAGCGGCCGCCATGGAGAACAGCCTGTGCTCGTTTCACGCCAACGACTCGCGCTGGGCCACCGGGATGCCCGGGGTCTCCCAGTTGCAGCTCCCACCGGCCCTGGGTCGTCAGCCGGGCATGGCGCAGTCCCTCTCGCAGTGCAGCCTGGGTCCCGGTCCGCCGCCAAACTCAATGGGCCTCTCTAACGGCCTGTCCTCCAACGGCTCCGGCCTGCAGTCCCACCTCTACCAGACGCCTTTCCCGGGAATGTCGGCGTCCCTCTCCGGCCCCACGAACGTATCGGGCTCCCCGCAGCTGTGTAGCTCCCCGGACAGTGATATGTGGAGAGGGACAAGCATCGCGTCACTTAGGCGCAAAGCGCTGGAGCACACAGTGTCAATGAGTTTCACTTAGTGACTTTTCAGCTCACCTCATCCTGCTCCTCTCCCGGCTTCTTGTCCCAGATCCGCCCTGCGCCTTTCTTCTGTTTTTACTCCTGCTACTTAGAAATGAGAGAACAGGATGGAGACGAACGAGACAAATGGACAAGATCGGGGGGAAATTGAGTTTGGAGTTCTTTATCTTATTTCAAAGGGACTTTATCAACACTTAACGATAAATGCTATTGTATGATCACTAGAATATAGGTCTTAATTAATGAGAGCCAAACAATCCTTGTATTTACGTTTTCACTGAGTGTGTCTCTACGCACACTTTAATGTATCCAGGTGATGTTGTGTTTTGTCAAACAGGTATAAATCAGTCGGACCCCACTTCCACGGAGAGCCTTTTGAGCTGCGTCTCAGGCGTCCTCTGCGTGGGGGAATTTGGCCTTTTGATGAAGGGAACCCCCCCCCCCCTCCAAAACACACCGACACCAGTGTCGGGATCAAATCAAATTAGCAAAACATAACGGTGTGAACAAAACGATGACCTCTCAGCTGGCCTATACTCTGTTTTAGGATGTTTTGTGTAGATAAAACATTCTTGCTGTACACGCTGGTCTTTTTGTGACATGTTTTAACTTATTGTATGTGCTATTATTACTTGACACATTTCTTAAATGTTTGATCTTACATCGGATTGCACCATATCGACGGGTTTGTACCAGTTTAAAAATGAACAAAACGAATAAAAGTACTTTTCAAGAATGTCGAAACGGGGAGGATGTGCGACTCTGTTCAATTTAACATCATTAACACGTGGCAGCATCATGCTGTGTTGGGTGCTTGTTTCCAGTATAGGCACCGGGAAGCTGAGAAGCTGCTCTCACAGATGATTGTGCAGTTTGAGGTCATCGCTCAGAGACCTAGAGACGCTATTGTTTTTTTGACAGTGTTTATGAGCTGACAGGGTTAAAGCAGTTATGAAGGATGACTGGTCTCATAGTGGCTCATAGCGGCGGTAAAGATGTCGGGCTCTGATGTGACGGTCATTGCTTTTAACCGTGACGGTCACCCTACTGAGGATATTGAATGGACTGTGGGTAAACATCCCCACGATACTAAGAATACACCATGATTCGCAAGGATGTGTACATTTAGATCAAAATCTTGGGCGAGCAACATACAACTGGCACAACTGGCTCAGTCCATTGCATCAAAATTGTTTTCTTATATTTGCGAGAGCTGCGAAACGAAAAATAAAAGTCGTTCAAGTGAGCAAGTTCTAGATTTACATTTATAAATGGCTCATTTTAGTAAAAATAAAAATATTGGTTTGTGATTTCAATAATGCAATTAGATTCAGATAGAGTAGTTTAAACCGTCGATAAAGATTATAAAGATTATTTTGAATTTAAAAAAACAGCAGGAAATGACGACTTTACGATTAAAGATAGACAGAATCATGCTAAAGTTCACCCATCCATCCATTTTCTTTACACCCTTGTCCCTTAGTGGGGTTAGGAGGGTTGCTGGTGCCAATCTCCAGCTGACGTTCCGGGCGAGAGGCGGGGTCACCCTGGACAGGTCACCAGTCTGTCGCAGGGATAAGCATGCATCAAAAATATAATTCAAAATGCATTTGCGATTCACGGGTTAATGATGTTAATTCTTTTATAGTAAGAAAGTAACATTTCCCTCATAGCTGAGGTGAGGTTCTGGAATAATTTATTTTATCAATTGTTTAAAATCATCATAAAGCAACAGCAAAAGTTCCGGTTACCATTTATGAAAAAGACAGGTTGACAGATTTAAGAAATAGAAAAATAGTCAATAAAATAATGACTATATATATATATATATATATATATATATAAAGTCACTGAAAGGTCTGTGGATTTAAAATCATCGTCGGTTTTGTTGCAAACTACTTAAAATTAGTCTCATTTTTCTAATACGTAACTAGTCCTGTCGCGTTTATGAATAGTCTGAAAACAGTGAAAACAAACAAAAAATACGCTGATTAAAAAAAATAAAAAATAAAGTCTACTTCTGTATGATCATGTGACGTTCATATTTATTTATTTAGTTTTTTATTCTTTAAGTACTTTTTAAATAAAAAAAACATCTTACCCGCTCTTGCTTTAATTTCAAACGATCCTGATGAGACTCGGGAGCAGGCCTGAATGAGGTAAATAAAATTTTACTCCATTATGAGAAGCGGGCGGACCTCACTTTCTGTGTCAAAGAGCATAAGTGTCAACTTGAGCCTGAAAATCACAGCAGCTCAAATTAATCAGCGTGTTAACCTCATCTCGTCGCCGCAGCGCTGAGGCCAATTTATGGTCACGGGATGGTAATTGATGAGATATGGCATTACCATCAGCAGCCTCGCTGCCTGTAAACTTATAATTGGAGTTTCTGTAACAATGCAGGGAGGTTAAACAAAGGATTAATCATAATTAACGAAAGTAGTATTACTTTTTCCAAATTAAGCAGTTGGTGCCCACCTTTTCTATTAACATACAGTGGTTTGTAGTAATTTGCTCAAATATATACTAAGACAAGTCATAACCATAAATATAGATTTTTTTTTCATGTGTTTATGTGACACATTGAGAAATATGTTGTTTCTGTGATATTGCACTTAGGTAAACTTTTAATCTTACATGAATAAATACGTATTTTTCCATTGTTTTCTATCTGCTTAGTTCAAAACCCGAGAATTGCCAGGCTACGAAAACATGTTTCACATCATCGTCAGTTCAAGTAACTTTTTATGCTCATTTAATTTCAGCGTTAATTGAAGTTAGAGTTCAAACCGTATCAGAAACTCAAAACTAATTTATCTCATCTGAATTTATTTATCGTGTCCTCTTTGCTGAAGCTTTCTGTGCTACCTCCATCGCTTATTTCTCTAATTGCATTTTTTTTCTTGAACGGAACCAGAACGGCCACCTTTTCCCTGAACAAGCATGCATTTACAAGATACAGTCCGACAGCTGACTGAACACTCAAACCCCGGCTCTGCTCTGACTGCCCCATCCAGACTAAAGCCTGTTGGCCAGGCTCTCTGTGTTTGGTTGTCTCTGCAGATCTGGAGAATCTAGTTCGAGGTTCCGACTCAGCCCAGCAGATCCGGCCCCATGCCGACTGCTGTGTCCTGGGCTGCAGTAACAGATGTGAAATCACATTACCCAAACGCTGCAATTAGTCTCACTCGCTCGCGGGTTAATGAGTTTGTGGAAATGTGCGACCCATTCCTCATTAGGCAATTTCTCATGCACTGATGAGAGAGGGAGAGAGATGTGGTTGCAGCAGTGGAAATGGCTGATGCCATAAGTTATCGTACCCCTTGGAATATATTGTCACATCATAACAGCAAACTTTGATGTATTTTAAATAATTGACATGGGACAAAATTAGACACAAATAGATGCATGATTTTTTTTTTTTATTCTAAATGGGGCAATTCAATAACTTTTATATTTAAACCCTTTTATGCTGGTGTAATGAAATAAAATCCAACTACATCAGTCATCCTCAGAAGTCATTTGTAAATAAATGTAGAGATAATTTGTGTATAATTTAATATGTAATTTATTAGTAGTATAAATACAACTATTTTGTGAAGCATTTATTAAACAAACAACATGGGGAAGACCAAGGAACACAACAAGTATAGATAAAGGTGTACAGCGATTTAAATCAAGGTTACAACATCAAACACTGGCCGTAAACGTTTCCTACAAGACTTTTTAATCCATCCTCAAAACTATAGTTAAAAAAATAGTAAGAAACAGGTGCAAACCTACCAACATACGGCCATCCACCTAAACTGACAGACTGAGCAAGGAGAGGATTAATCAGAGAAGCAGCAAAGAGGCATCTGGTAACATTGGAGGAGCTACAGGGATCCACTGCTCGGCTGGGATAATTATTATTACTCCCGAAATCTCAACTATGTGGCACATGGGCACGAATAAAGTCAATGCTGAGAAAACAAACGTAAGACATCCTGTTACCAGTTTGCAACAAACTATCTAGGGGATACAGCAGGCATGTGGAATAGGGTGTTAGATAAAGGGCAACAGTGGGAAAAGAAAGTGGATGCTGCAAAATGATTTGTGTGAGGTTCTGCAAAAATGTTGACTCGGGTGGGCAAAAATACAAATGAATGGCACACTTTTAATATTTAAATGTCTCAAAAATGTACAAAAAAAAAAGTATAATTTCCTGATATTTCACAATATGCTCTACTTGAATTGACCCATTGCATTATAAAATCCAATGAAAAGACACTGAAGTTTGATATGACATCAATAATATGGAAAAGGCTCAAGGGGTATAAATTCTTTTGCAAGGCAATCTGCTGTAACACATTAGATATATGTAGTCATATTTAGTACAACAGAAAACGTGTTCCACTGAGGCTTGCTTGATAGATTACCGCAGAAGTATTCTGTCATGTTTCTGAATGTGGGAGGAAGTCAGAAAGAGGGTAGGCAGGGATTTGAACCCAGGATGTTTTTGCTGCAAGGCCTTAAGCCCTCATGTCTACGCTAAAAAAAATTTTGATTGATCTGATGTTATGTTAAAACCTTCTAAGAAATGAAACTGAGTTTTCATGTGCTGTAAGTGGAAAAACATTATAATAAACAAAAAAAGGGTTGAAAACATTAGATTGTGTTTAATTAATCTAATATATTAAAATTTAAATTAAGTTACTTATATATATATTTCTTATATTTATATTCAAAAATCTAATTTTTTTTGAATGAGTCTGTAGTTTGGATGAGGTTTAAGTTAGTTTCTGCTGGCAGCTTTCGAATGTGATACTGCTTGCTACAAATAAAATAAAATAAAAATATTCACATAGAATAACACAAGCTTGTCTCATTACAGACTGATTCACTCACAACAGTCTGGTGTTCCCTGCTGTGAGGCCACAGAGCCTCTTAGTGAATAGATAACCCCAAGGCAAAGCTCTGTCAGGACACAATGGAGTACAACTAAAATACTAATTAGCAATCAATTACTAGCATGTTTCTGTCCAGCACCTTTTATCTGGTTAGTTATAATGTAGGGCAGGCTACCACCACTCAACATACTCAACATTCAGACACAGACCACCTGCTGCTTACATTTGCTTTTACGTGAACATGTGTGCTATTTGTATTTTTATATTTCTGTCTGTGAGGCAGAGATGATTGCAGGGATGCAAAGGGTAACCTAGCGATGCAGGGTTTTTCACAGTGGAATGTAACCTCTCTCCTGTGGGAGATAAAGGTAGAAAAATCCTCAGAGCAATCCAATTTGAGCCATTAGAGGAAGTTGCTTTTCATGAAGTCTGCACCTAAGAGCACAAAGGATAGTTATTCATTAGCCTCATCTGTTGCAATCAGTCTCTAAACTCCTCTTTGTTGTATTCCATTGCTGCCGTTTAGTAGCGCGTTAGTTTGCACTATAAATGAAAGTTCTATTAGTAAGCAGCACCAAAAAATGGCGGCATGCAAAAATGTTTACACCCTGTTAGCTTCTTTGCATTTTGTTTGATTACAGCTACAATGTCTATTGTAGTTTATTATTATTTTATGAGACAGGCCAAAACAAATGCAGCATAAAACAGAAAATGGAATGAAAACATATTTGTCAAATAAATAATAATAATAATAATAATAATAATAATAATAATAATAATAATAGTAATAATAATAATAATAATAATAATAATAATAATCTAAAAAGCGGGGGTTATATGTATTCAAACCCCTTT